GGAGGAGTACACAGTGGCGATGACAAAGAAAAGGAAGGATGACGTGAAGCAGGCATTGACAGAGTTGGGCGACGAGTGCCTGTACTGCGGCAACAGGATGATACGCTCGATTAGAAAGCCTTCTACGAGCCGAGGGTAACGAGAGTGAGATGCAGAGCTGGGTGTAGGAGTGCGGGGGAGTCCGCACGTCGAGGCTGAGGGTAGAAAGCGAAGCTAAAAGGAGAGAGAGAGAGAGAGAAGAGAGAGAAAGAGAGAAAGAGAGAGAGAGAAAGAGAGTGAGAGAGGAGAGAGAGGAGAGAGGAGAGAGAGCTCGGCTTGGCGAGTTAGGGTGGGGTTGAGGGGAAGATGGTCAGAGCGTGGCTGGTGGTGTGCGAGTAAATGTTGATAGGATGGTAATAAGGCTACTCTCATGATCTATCATGAGTAGAGTGCTGTCTGGTAGTGTAAAGGCCTCAAGGACTGTCCGCATGAAGGAAATAGCTTTATGGCATGGGTACAGTGGTAGTTAATAATGCTGTGTATATAATGGTCATCATTTTCGCAAGAGAGAGAAGGCTGTAATTAAGTCGTGTAGGTTGTTGCTATCAACCCAGTGAGATGGTGTGTTATTGTGCCATACGGCTGTAAATCATTTCACGTACGAACGTGTTTCGTTTGAATGTATATAGACGTTAAATTAACGAAGATACAAACTGTTTGGCAACAATTATTCAATATTACAAATATATTGTAAAAGGTGTACGTATCTATGAAGTGGCCTATAGGGTTCGTAAGTAGGAACTGGGTGATTCGTGATTCGTCTATCATACAGTGATCCTATACAGTGCTTTATCGGGACAGGCCAGGAACTATGAAAATGTCCTCGTTCAGCAGTGGCCGCGATTAAGCGGTGAACACAATAAGTTAACGTGTGTGAAGATTGTTTTTCACGGGCATATGTTGTTTAACCAAAGCGCCTGTTTATCCGTGGCCCAATAAGGGGACCTCTGTGCTTTGTGTTGAAACTGCTGGTTTGTTTCTTTATGGAAGAATGTGAAGTACGTAATAATAAACCTTGGAGCAAAATGTGGAAATAATTGGGATAGAAGTTTATCTTGTTTACCTTCGCTTACAAAACAAAGTAAAGTTCTCTGTGTAGGAGAAAAGCTTCATTACCATATGCAGTTGTTTTACAAATAGTAATTTTGTAAAAAGAAAAAATAGAAATGTAATACACTATGAATTGAATCTATATTTGACTCTTCCAACCCGTATTTTAAATTTCGCGGCTTATTGGATGCATTTTTCACTCAGAAAATATCCCCCAGAACAAGCTTGCCTCCTAAAAGCTGAAGGTAGGTGTAGCGGACGTTATTATAGCAAAGATTTTTCACTACTGCAATGTTTTTTTGTCGACATCGTCAGTATAGCTGATAGTGAACCGTGCGACTGTCCGCTGGTAAATCGACTGGTTCTAGAACACTCCGTATGTTGTTTTAGTTTCTCGTCGGAATATCAAGGACTAGAAAATAACAGTCGTTTCGATTCTGCTGTGTTGTGACCCTACGACACTCACCTAGACACTCATAGAATGTAAGTTAAGATAATATAGTATAATATAACGAAACCAGACACTGAGACGACACACCCACACCCCCACCGACCGATACATTCTATTTCAATCAAGCGAAGACGGTGGATTCTGCCCTGACTACGCAGCACACCACGGAGCCATTCGACAATGCAGATAATATTTCAGCCAGCATTTGGGCCGAAGTAATTATTGACGCGTTGACTTCGCAGTAAACAATGCTGATGAAAATGATGAGAGTAGCTTGGTGGAGTGAAGACAACCAAGGACAGTGGGAAGGTGTTATTATCTACACAAAGCAGTGGATGCGGTGAAACTGTCTAGGACAAAACGCTACTCAGTCCGAAGGTAATGATCGTGATACGTACAATAATCAACGCGTTTATTATGGGCATGTCAAATTCAATTTGAAGAATAGAAGAATACTGCAAGTTTTGTTTGAATGTGCGCTTGGTAATAGCTCAGAACGGCATAAATCTTGCGCAATTTCATTGCAAAAGGTAAGCACATAGATTTACACGAGTTATTGTTGGAGCTATATTTGAGCATAATTACTTTAGTGAGTGCCTTTTAACGTGTTATTGATTGTGTAGCTTCTAGGATGCTTATTAATTAATGTATACGGAATAATTAAGTAAATCATAATACCACTAATAAAATGAGGATAATTAGTCAGCAACAACAACAACAATCACAACAACAATAATAAAATAAAAGCAAGTCGATCTGCAAGTGTAATTATCGTTTCTAACGGCAATGGCCTATAGCTCCTCTTATGGATTAGTTATCGATAATACACCCATTTGCATTCCCCCTCTAGTAATTTTGGCCACAGCCAAGTCTGATTCTATGCGCGCGAAGAAGACGCGCGCAACAGACCCCCGGTCACCGAAAAACCTCCTGGATGACTCCGCGTCTACTATGGCCAGGTGGATACAGCGTCTACTCGGGCGGATTCGGTGACCGTCCGGCGGCGAAGGCTGCTGGCCGAGTATCCCGGCCGAGCGTCGGGGTCACGTCCGCTCAGCCGATCGCCGTTCACGGAGTTCCACGCCGTGCTGTAGGTATGCCGACGCGCTGCGGGCGATCAGTCGCTGCTCAGCGAGTCAGCTCGTCTCCTCGGACGTACGTCTTCGGCGACAAGTATGGACCGGCTGTCGCATCCGCGTCAGGGACCCGCTTGCTGGCGCGCCTATCTGGGCGGTGACCACGGAGCGCCGTCTTCAAGTACCTGCGTCGGTTGCGCCGAGCCGCCGACGCTTGCGCGTCTACCCGCGCATGGGGCGCCTATGAGGCGGCGCGCGCTAGCGGCAGCCGCGGTGACCTCGGCGCACTACGACGCCGTGCTGCACTGCGAAGGTGGAGAGCCTGTTCCAGCGCGGCTCGCGTACGCGGAGAGCGGCCGGCGCTGGTAATCGCGGCGATGCGCGGGCCTTCGAAGAGGTCGCTGCTCAGTTCGCTTCGCGTGAGCGGCGGGCGAGGAGACCGGGGAGGAGTCGCGGCGGGGGCAGGCGGCGTCTGCGGGCGTTCCTCGTGCGCCGCCTCCGCGCGCGCTCGACGCCGCCAGACAAAGAACGGCCGGACCAAGCTAGCTCGTCACGTGCTCGCCGATATCGTACCCGACGAGTCGGCCCGGCGGCCGCGAACTGGCCGGCGGACGACGACTTGCCGGCGACGCGGGCGCTTGCGCGCCTCGGAATCCGCGCGTTGTCTCGGCGAGGCGAGCGAGCGCGCCGGCTGCTGCGCGCTGCCGCGAGACGCTGTATCTCGCCGTCGCCGAGCACACGGAGACGCGGCGGAGTCTCGAGCTGCTGCGACGCTCCGTCGGCTGACGACGAGCGTTGTGGTGCGCCACCCGCGTGCAGCGCGAGGACATGCCGTGCGCCGTCGGACGCTTTCGCCGCGCGCCCGCGACGTCGAGCTCCGTCTTAACCAGCTCTTCGCGCGCTCTCGTCGAGGTGTCGCGCCGCTAGTTGGACGTGTGATCGGCGCCATGGCCGCCGCTCGACCCATCGCCCACCCTCCCGCGTCGTATTCACAGCGAGCAGCAGCGAACCGACCTGCGGCAGGGCACGAAGCGATACCGGTGCGCGGGGGTCGGCGTCGTGCGGGGCTTGTGGGTGCGAGGAGGTGGGGGTGGGGTGTGTTGTGTGCAGGGGGGTGAGGGGGTGCGGAGTGCGAGGTGGCTGGGCACGGAGTGCGAGGCGGGGGGGACGCACAGCTGCGGGGTGGGGGCACGAGTGGGGTGGGGCGGCGGAGTGCACGGCGGGTGGGAGCGCGAGGCGGAGGATGGGTGGGGGCGCAAAGTGGAGTGGGGGGAGTGGCCAATGTGCGGGTGGGGTGGGGGGCAGCTGTGCAACAGATGGGGTGGGGCGCGGGTCGAGGTGCGGGGCTGCAGAGCCTGCTTGCTGTTTGGCCTGCTGTCTTCGCCTCAGTCCTGCCCGTATCTTGCCTTCTGCCTGTCTGCCTGCCTGCTGCCTGCCGGCGCTGCCTTCCGCCTGCCTGTTTGCCTGCCTGCCTGTCTACCTGCCGCCGCGCCTGCCTGTCGCGGCCTGCGCCTGCCTTGCGGCCTGCCGGCCTGCCTGCCGCCTGCCCATGCCTGCCTGCCTGCCTGCTGCCTGTTGCTCCACCAGTGTGTCTATGCTTGGTGCCGTGCTTACTAACTGGGAACACCGCACCACCCAACACTGCTACCCACCTACCCACCTACCACCTACCCACCGTACCCACCTACCACCTACCCACTCTACCAGCCTACCAGCTACACAACTACCTCACCTACCCACCTACCACTACGCCAACCACCCCGCTACCCACCTAACTCACCTACCCCACCTAGCCCACCTACCTACCTACCTCACCTACCTCACCTACCTACCTACCCATCTAGCCCACCTACCCAGCTACCCACCTACCCACCTAACCACGCTACCCACCTACCTACCTACCCACCTACCCCACCCACTCTCCGCCACCTACCCCCGCTATCGCTAACCTACTCCACCTACCCACCTACCCACTCTACCGTTACCACTACCGTCCCACGCTACCACCACTCCACCTACCCACGCACCCACCTACTACCTACCCACTACCCACTAGCGTCACCACGGCCTACCCACCTACCCACTCATACCAACCTACCCACTCCCACCACCACCTACCTCCTACCTACCTACCCACGTGCTAACCCAACTCTACCCACCTACCCACCCCCCACCTAGCCGTACCTGTTACCTCTGGGGTACCCTCACTGCACCTCACTTCTACCTACCTACCCACCTACCCACCTACCCACCTACCCACTACCCACTCTACCCCTTACCCAACCACCCACCTACCCCCGCTCCTCACCTACCCACTGCTACCCACCTACCCCCCCTACCCACCTACACCACCTACCTACCACCACCGTACGCCACCTACCCACGACCCCTACCACCTACCCGACCTACCACCGACCCCCAGGCTACCACCTACCCACGCCACCACCTACCACCTACCCACCTACCTACTACCCACCACCCACCTTACAACACTACCCCCTACCCACGCTAACCCACCTACCCACTACCCACCTACCTACCTACCCACCTCCCACCTACCACTCTACCAGCCGACCCACCGGTACCCACCTCCCACCTACCACCACCCACCCTACCCCACCTACGCACCTACCCCCCTACCTACCTACCCACCTACCCACTACCTACCGACACCAGACCTACCACCTACCCACCGCTACCTACCTACTCCCCACCCACCACCCCCTACCGCCACCTACCGCACCACTCACTCCTACCCACTACCCACACCCACCTACCTACTACCCCCTACCTCCTCCCACTCCCCACTACCCACTACCCACCTACCCCCTACCTACCTACCTACCTACCTACCTACCCGACCTACCCACCTACCACCCCCACCACCCCCTACCCACCTACCCACCTACCACCTACCTAGCCACCTACCTACCGTACCTACCAACCTACCTACTACCCACTACCCCACTACCTACGCTGACCACCGTACCTTACCCTACCACCTA